ATCCACCAGCTGAGTGAGCAGCAGAAGGATCTTCATAAGCAAGGCAAGCATCTCCTTTGGCTTTTCCAGAGTCATCAGTATATATTTTTATGTTCCAGGGCCACTGATCTTTGTAACCACGTTTTTGCTTGATCTTTCCAACCTTTTTAAAAAAATAAATAGCCGCAAGCATTGCAGAATCATCCGATGCAAAGATAACACGAAGATGAACGGCAACACATTAAATAAATGAATTGGTTTGAACAGCATGATAGCTCATGCAAAAACAAGATGAAACTCTAAAAAAAGTGATGATTGATAATAAGAATCTAAAAATGAAAATCTAAAAAAGTGTTAGTTAATCACAGACTCAACATAATGTGAAACCAACTGTACAATATTAAATATAGAAAGGCGAGAAAAATCAGTTCCATACAGATATCCTAAACAAATAAGCTAAAATTCTTAGAAGCATAATAACAACCAAGGATGCAGTGAAACACTAGATTTGATGTAAGCCATAACATTTTCCATCACCAGAAGTCACATTAGAAGATTGCATGAATATAATTACACAGAATAATTAGTTAACTACTAAAGGTTGTTCTACCTATTCAGCAGTAGAAATTTTGGCTATAAAATGCACAATTATAGTGAGCACAATTACTGGCATACAAATCTAACTAGCAAACTAGTAAAAGAGAAGTAACGAATTCTGTTACAGAATTACGAAATATATATACCATTAGAGAAAATGATAATCTTGTAAAGCATACAATTACTATCGCACAAAAGGAAGTGATGTAAATTGAATTATACCTGGCCGATTCCTCCAAATAGCTCCTGTAATTCCTCAACAGTGACATCAGGAGGCAAATTTGAGATGTAAATCCTTGCATTGTCACATGTCTCGTCACAATTTTCATCACACTGCTTAACTTTTCCAGCTGGTTCAGGGTCAGCACTACCAGTATAACCGCCGCCGCCACCGCCGCCATGATAAGGTGGCGGCGCACTCCCAGATCCTCCACCCCCAGGCATGGATCGACCACCATATCCACCATCATATGTAGGAGGCAGACCCCCTTGCCCCCCTGGGGCACCACCATATTGGTGTGGAGGCGGGGCACCATAGCTTGGTGGGTATGACCCTGGGCCACCACTGTAGCTATTAGGAGGCGGCACTGCAGAATCTGAACCATAAGCATTGTTGCCTCCATAGGAGCTAGGAGGCGCTGCATAGTCACCCACAGGACCACCATAGGAAGGACCTTGTGGAGGAGCTTGTCCATAGCCACCGGCATTGTAGCCACCTTCACTACCCCTTTGGTTCTCCTGATCTCGTCCCCCATAGCTGCCACCTCTGCCACCACGGTGGTCATCAAAACCACGGTCACTACCACCACTTCGATTGTATCCTCCTCTGCCCCCACCTCCACCACCACGCCCACCAGAATTGTAGTCTCCGCCATCTCTGTCGAAACCACCACCTCCACCAGACCTATTATAGCCCCCACCCCCACCGCCGCCACCTCCACTTGGGCAAGGTGTTCCACACTTATTGCATTCAGTCCTCCTCGCGAAGTTCACATTGCCACAACTGCATCATGATTCGTAATTTTTTTTCAGGAAAGAGATACATCAAGAAATCAGTTATAATAAAACGATTAAGCTTTCTGCATCATGGAAGAACTAAAGCTACTACATACAAAGAAAAGAACACATATATGAAACTATACCCAAAAAAGCAAACCATAACCCTTTCCTATAATCCTAATCAAATGTATACATCTATTACAGTTGTCCTGAATTGCATCTCAAAGTCAAATATCAAATAAATTTAAAAGCCATGAAACTCAGCTTTAAATTGTCATCACTAGCCATCTAGCCCCCAAATCTTTTGGAATTATAATGAAATCAAGACACCCAATGTTTCAATCCATAGAAGCTTATTAAAGTCCGGTAAATAAGACAACGCAAACAACAGGTAGCTATATACCATCCAGCTACATGGATGCAAATCAAGCTAAAGGAACAGGGAGCTAGGTCCTGCACACCATGCCGCATGCAAATCATTATCCGACAGCATAATGATTCAATCACCCAAACACCGCAAAAAAACATCTCGAAACAGTTTTACTTGATTCGAGTCTACACGCCAGAATTCTCATCACAGTATGGAATAACACGATTCAACGAATCTAGTTCCAACAGACAATCGACGAACAAGCTATTGAAAACGCACCTTGCGTCAGGGCAAACCCAGTCGCCTTCGCGTCCACCCCCGCGCCCGCCACCGCCTCGGCCACCTCCACCACCACCGCCACCTCGTCCTCCGCCACCGAACCCGCCGCCGCCACCGCCTCGGCCGCCTCCACCGCCACCGCCGTAGCCTCCACCACCACCACCTCCATATCCTCCTCCCGCGCCGCCACCTCCATACCCTCCTCCACCGCCTCCGCGCCCACGGCCGCCGCCGCCGCCGCCACCTGCACAAGCACGAATCGCTCAGAATCAGATCCAGGGAGACAGACACACGCACGCAGGTCGGGGGATCCAAACGCGACCTCGGCCACCGTATCCGCCGCCGCCGCGGTAGTCGTCGGATCCGTAAGACCCTGACATGGGCTCAGGTCGCGCCTAGGCCTAGGGTTTGGGACCGTTCGAGAAGACAGGGCGGAATAGAGCGCTCGTGATGCGGACAGGGAGGTAGGAGTATGTGTACGTGGAGTAGGGCAAAAAGAAGCCGCGTTTCCAAGTTGCAACCGGGATAAATCGCACTGTGCTTAACAGTGGTGGGCTGTTATTGGGCGGTTTGGGTGACCGAAACTGGGCCGATTGGCTTCTTGGAATATATATAAGCCCAGTATCACTATGTATTTTGGGCTTTGTTGAGCCTGCGTCAGTTGCATCGCTCGTATATGCTCCTGTTTTTGGCCCAGCAAAAACTACCATTTGAGTGTTTTTCAGTATTTTGATTTGAGTTATTAATTTGACGGTTCTACAACTTTTTTAAACAACTATAAGAAGCTACTTTCTGCATACATGAGATGATATTTTTATATTCAAATTATATCCACAAATATAAGGGTTTCTGAGTAACTAGTCAAGGGCTGACTGAACCCGCCAATAATCGTGTCAATTGAGAATCACGAGCTGGAACGTTGATTTTAGGTAGAGGTTTGAAATGTTTTTCCCTCCCTCCTTAATTTTTTATCTTAAAAGTTATAGAAACTCTTAGGACATGTTTGGTTTTGAGACAAGAGGGACGAGATAAATTCATTTAGTCTTATTAGGATATAAGATGGCCTCTACTCAGCGGCGGATTCAACCGTGGGGGCTCGAGCCCCCCTACCGATACCGGAGCCCTGGAGTCCCCATAAATTTTTAGGTAAAGTTCTATCGTGTAGATATGGCTGAGACTTAAGATCGAGCAGCAATCGGAGGTATGTTGCTGCCGCACTTTTGTTCAGCCCCCCTAAAAATTTTCCTGAATCCGTCGCCGCCTCTACTCTATGTTTGGTTGATGGAATAGTGATGTCCCTGCTCTGTGTTTGGTTGGAGGGATATAGATGAAGTAGATACATCACTATCTGTGTTACCTTAGATATTCGTTAAGTGGGACTCACATATCATCATCTTTCACCTTTTTCCAGCTTCTTCAACAAAGTTGCCCAACCACAGCAATCAAGGCCATCCTGCCATGGTCGAGGCTGAGCTCACTCATGTTAGGGCTGCGCTTGCTAGCGTTGGAGTCGAGCTTGCCCTCACCAAGTTCAGGCCTGCCAACGGGACGAGAAAAAGAGGAAGAAACACGCGGCAACAAAAAAAGAGAATGACATCGCGATGGGACGAGCTCGTACCTCGAAATTGGAGGGACACCTAGAGACAGCATCTCAGAAGAACATGTACTCCCAGGGACAGTTTCATATTCCACCTGACCCTAAATCATGTTAGGGCTGCACCTGCTAGCGTTGGGGTCGAGCTTGCCCTCACCGAGGTCACGCCTGCCAATGGGAGGATAAAAGAGGAAGAAACACGCGACAACGAAAAAGAGAATGACATTGTGATGGGACGAGCTCGTATCTCGAATTTGGAGGGACACCTAGAGACAACATCTCGGAAAAACATTTGCTCACAGGGATTGTTTCATATTCCACCTGCCCCTAAATCAAACAGAGGATCAATCTCGCCTCCAGACTAAACAAATGTGTGGGTAGAGGGAGTACAACCTATGAGGCCGATTTCTTGATTGTTTGCTCTAATAGTGGTAATTTTTAATTAATTTTTAGCTTTTTTTAGAAAACCATCACATAACACTTTTTTTACTTACACTTTATTGATTTTAAAATAATAGCTACATTATCCACCAATATATAGCTAATTTTACAATAAAGCACGGTGGTTATTCAACTTACTTAGAGACGGCTGAATACCCCAATGGAGGATGGACCTCAATATCCAAAGTTTAGCCTACATGCTGAGCTTCGCCATTGGGCAATAAACGAGCTCCTTATATCAAAAGAAGAAGAGAAGAAGAAGAAAATTAAAAGTCCTTGCAATTCGCATATACGTATTTCTCACCGGATGTTCGTTAGATAACCGTGGCCTCAACACACACGGGTCGCACAATCTCTGAAAATACTATACGGATCTCATCTCATCATTACACGCCGGCAAAGAATGTTCTTTGTGTCTGAACTCCTTTGTATGGACCAATCATTATCACTACAGTACTCGTTTCAACGTGACGAAATCCCCTGAGCCCTGGATCGAAACAAAACAAACTGGCCTTCACGTAGCGCAATGCCGACAAGGGCACAAGGCGATCACGACTCGTCCCCCACGCCCTACATGGCCGCACGTCTGCGCCATTTTTTTTTAACACGCTGACGGCTGACCCTCACCCTGTCACGTGTATATAAACCGTGCTCCTCCCGCCATTTCCACACAACCAGAGCTCAAGCCACCTCCATCGATCTCCTCCTCCGAGCGATCGACACGCTCCCCGCCAAGCAGCGATGACGGCATTCCTCCCCATCGCCGTCCTCCTGTCCCTCCTCGTCACCGGCGCCACGGCCGGCGGCTACGGCAGTCAGACACCTAGCCCCTCGACACCGGCGCCCTACACCCCGACGCCCGCCACGCCAGCGCCGACGCCGACGCCCGCGCCCTACACCCCGCAGCCTGCCACGCCCAAGCCGGCGCCGGCCGCGCACGGCTACGACGACAAGAAGCTGGTGGTGGTGCGTGTGGAGGGCCTGGTGGTGTGCCAGAGCTGCGCGAAGCGGGGCTCGCAGAGCCTGGACGGCGCGGCGCCGCTGCCGGGGGCCAATGTGACCGTCACCTGCCGCGACAGGAAGAACCGCGTCATGGCGTACCGGCGGCGCGTCGCCGACGACAACGGCTACTTCCACGCCGAGTTCGGCGTCCAGCGCGCCGACGGCTACTTGGACAAGGACCCCCGCGGGGCCTGCTTCGTGCGCCTGCTCTCGTCGCCCGACCCCAAATGCAACATCATCACCAACATCCACGGCGGCTTGGAGGGCGCGTCGCTCCGCGACGAGGGCAAGCAGTGGATCGACGGCCGTGGCTTCAGGAACGTCGTCTACGCCGCCGGCCGGCTCGCGTTCAGGTCGAGGGAGTGCGCGCCCACGCGCCAGTACTGAGCGCACGCGAGAACACCAGTGTGTGCCAGGACCATGATGAGCACACGCGTACGTGCGCTAGTGATCTGAGAGAAGTGATTCATATGTTCCATGCATTTCGGAGGATGATTTCGATTTCCTTTTTCTTTAATATTTCCCCAGTTTTGGACCGGTGTTTAATTTGTTGTTTGCAGTGTGACATTCTCTGTAAGCTAAATTTGCTCTGATGTCTTTAAAGTACGTGAGAAGGCATTTATATTTGTAAACTTCAAGGTTCAAGCCTCCGAATCATGGCTCTCTTTGTATACATCTGATCGTTTACGATATGCTGCCAGATGGTCGTATCTGAACTGTGTTAGTTCTTCTTTGTTTTTCCCTCCTCATAATGAAACACACGTCAATGAATGTGTTCTCGAAAAAAAAATGTTCTTCTTTGTTTCTCTGTTAAGAAAGTTATAAAGATGCAGACATGTCTTACAGTTCTCTTTTACAGCCTGAGAATGTTATGCGTTTGACAAATTAACATTCTGATAAAGATTCGCGACTGAAGACCTGCTTGGCACTCCGCTTCCTGATTGGGGTATCAGGTATGTCTTGATATATATCTGATCTATTCCTGCGGGGATCAGGCTAGGCAGGTATTTAGCTTCATCAGAAATAATACTCGCGAATCTTGCTCGATTCAATGAAATTGACACTCTCAGTCCAAAAAAATCTTTACCTCACGACATAAATTAAACAGTTTTGAACAAATACCTAGCTCTAGATTTCCATGTAAACCACAGTGAAAATGAAAAAGGGTGTTATTAGCGCTCGGACGCCCGCGGCTGTTTGTTTCCCGCACGTAGCGAGCGGGTGGTGCGGACCTCAACTTGCTCCGGGGCCACTACGCGAGCATCGCGTCGCCCATCGGCCCACCAGGGGCCACCACCTCCACGGGCATTTGTGTGCTCGTCGGGTAGGGTTTCACGTCGAGCTCGAACTACCGCGGCGAGATGGAGGGAAGGAAAGGGAGGGGAGGGAAAGGAGAGGGCGAGGCGCGCCACGCGAGGTAGAAGCTGAAACCCTGTGACAAGTCGCTGTCTGCCAGCTACCGGCGCCATTACAATATGTGCAAGACTCGATCTACTTTTGAAATATCCAGATGAAACATTTGCAACATACGTATGAAGACAGATAAAACATTTGAAACATGCGTCAGAAACACTTGCAAAAAACACATGAAACACTTCAAAACCTTTGCAACACGTATGCAACATCCAGATAAAACATTTGCAACATATGCAACTTTCAAATAAACACACTTGCAACATACGTCTAAAAAAACAAATGAAACATTAGGGCAGACGTTTGCAACATAAGTGTACAACTATTGCAACATATGCAACATCCATACGAAACCCATGCAACATTCCTCTAAAACAACTGAAACATATGCTTGCAACACGTGCTTTCAGCGCAATGTCACCTTACTGTTTGGACGAATGGAGCTCGATGCCACGGAGTGCTCGGAGGTCGCCGATGCGGAGCTCGTCGGTGGCACGGACCTCAGTAGTGGCCACGACAGGCGGATGGAGCGCGGTCGCGACGGGAGGCGCGAGTTCGGACGCGGGCGGGGGCGGCGCAGGTAGAGTCTGTCTTGTGAGCGGGGACGGCCCGGGCCAGCGGAGTCTGTCCCGCGATGACAGGTGGCGTTAGCGAACGACGCAGGCGGAGTCCATCCGAGCGGGGGTGGCGCGGGCGAGCAGAATTGTCCCGCGAGCGGGGTCGTGCAGTGTAGAGCAAGCGTGCAACGTGGGATGGGTCCGTGAATGAGTGAATGAGTGGACGAGGCTCGTCCGGACGAGAGTAGAGGGACGGACGCCGGATACAAGCATGATCCAAATGAAAACGAAGGCTCTGCCCTAGGGAGGGCCGCTCTCCAAAAAAATAAAATAAATAATAAATAAATAAAATTGGGGTATACTCGCTGACTTGTGGGCCCGTAATGCCGCATTGTTCCTCTTTCCTTCCGTTCCGTCGCTCGATTCAGCGGAACAGAAGGGTGAAATTTCCCACTCGAAATGCCTTCCCTCTCCAATGCACCACTGAATTTCTAGGTGAGTTCATCTCATCGCCGCTACAGATGGCCACGCTTGAGTTTCGGTGTCGCCTTTGAATACTTGATTGGTTTCGAGTGATATAGGGTTCCGCGAGGGCGTTTGCGGTTGAGTTGAGATGATGGCCCCGTTCGCTTGAGCTTATCAGCCAGAATCAGCCCTACTTTTAAGTCATGGAAACAGTGTTTTTCTCTCACAACAAATCAGCCCTACAAATCAGCCGCAACAGCAATAAGTCCTGCCGAACAGGCCCGATGACGCAGTGGATTACCGCGTGCGCGTCGTCGGTCGGCTCTCCTAGACATGGAAGTCGCCGGTGCGCGTAGCCTGGCGGAGTCGCGAGCACACTCTTCAGGAGCCCAGGTTCGGACATACACTGCTCCCCACCCCCACCCAAGAGGTCAATGTTTTATGGACTTCTGCCGAAATTTGATTCTCATTTCTTTACAGTTGGAATAAATTGGATCTAGAATTTCAGATGGTTGCAGTCAAGTACAGTTCTGAGCTTTGTTCCAAGTTTGGTTTTCCCTTACAGTATTAGTTATGGCTTGTATGTTGGGAGAAATGAAGATAGCAAAACAATATTGTCACTTTTTTGAGGATATAATGTAATGAAGATGAACTAAAAAACTGCAACCTTATGAGAACAAAATGGTTTTAATCTGTCTTGTCTGACGACTATAAGGATAAAATACTTCATATCTGCCTCTCCTTTTATGGAAAATATAATGCCATACATGTAATTCGCATAACCATATCACATACGAATACAGAAATTGCCAACCCATCCTTCTATGTGCCAAAAGCGTCTGAACATGATTGCCAATGTGAAACCCACTTCAAACCCCAAACCAGAAAAGGTAAGCAAGAGGATGGCCTCAAGTTCAACCAAGAAAGAGAAGTTAGGAAGTTAGCTACTGTGGGATTTTCCCCGAGAGATTGTTCCATGAGAGATCCATTGATTCTAGCCGAGTCAGGTTACCTAGCTATGATGGAATTTGCCCCATGAAGTTGTTGTATGACATGTTAAGCCCATGTAGTGAAACCAGACTCCCAATTGACTCTAGAATGTGACCGACAAATGAGTTATTTGATAAATCAATTACTTTGAAACTGGTAAGGATTTTAGTGAAAATAAGATCTGACCCTTTGTATGTAATAGTGATATCATCTCGATAAAATCCTACTTCCACGTTTATCTGATGTCCAACAACTTGTCCATCATCGTTACCATTCTCCATTGATTCCAGTTCATTAAACCATTCTTTGGGCAGGTTTCCAGAGAACTGGTTGGAGGCCAAATCAAGTATTTGCAGATTTGAGAAGCAGTTCGAAATTTGGTCATTGTCTTGAAGATCTGTAGTCATGCCAGAGAATTGGTTGGATCTTAAAACAAGAACTTGAAAAGCAAAGCAACAGCTTCGAAACCCCTTCTTCATGGAGATCTTCATCATTGCCTCCTGGCATATTTGGAAGCAGAGAAATAACTTCATCTTCGACAGAGGACGCCCCTCCTTTATCTCTTGGAAAACCTACTTTTATGAGGAAGCCAAACTTTAAGCTTCTAGACTTTGTGAAGAAAAACGGCACGCTTTTCTCCTCTGTTTAGACTCCCTCTCCTAGTTTTTTATGCTTCAGTGGAGTGCAGTTTCTCCTGCCCTCTTGCTGACTGTGTGGTTTATTTCTTTTAGCCTCTCTTTGGACAGTTTTTCCTTTTTCCAAAAGTAATAAAAAAACTCTTACAGTGGGGGCCTCCCCTACTGTATTTTCGGGTAAAAAAAAAAAGAACTTGAAGTTTAGGAAGTATTCCCAGCCAGGATGGAAATGAATCAGCAATCTGATTGTCACTAATATCGAGCAATCCTAAGTCTCGACAGTTAGTGATCTAGGCAGTTTCCCTGAAATGTAGTTGTGGCTCAAGTCTATTGTCTCAAGCATACATCCTTCTCTGATGCCATCATGCAGTACCCCGTGGACTTGGTCACCTCTTAATTTCATTACTCTCAAGTAGTCAAGTTACATCGAGCTAAGCATGATGGGATCACTCCACTAAAGTAGTTATAAGATAAGTCGAGGATTTGGAGTTCACTTGCATTGCAAATTGGAGTGGGTATGTGGCCTCTTATTTTGTTACTGGACAAATCAAGATATGATGTTTTCCCAAGATATCTACCAACGTTGGGTAGGATGGAATTGAAGTAATTATTTGAGTAATCCAAGATGGCATCTGTGCGTCCAGACCTTATGGTTGGTATTGGCACGTCTCCTTCAAGTCTATTGTAGCTTAGATCCAGAACATATATAGATCCCATTGGAACAAGAGAGGGAGATTTCTCCAAACTGGTAAACATGTTGTGAGAGAGATCTGAACCTAAAGGAGATAGGCCTCAATGGTCGTCGTTTCACTTGGAGCAACGAGCAGGACAATCCGACGCTGACAAGAATTGACAGATTTTTCTGCATCCTGGATTGGGAGTTAACCTTCTCGACATGTTTCCTCCACTCCTTGCCTTCTCTCATGTCCGATCACACCCCTCTACTTCTGCAATGAGAGCTTGAGCACTGCCACAACAACACTTTCCGCTTTGAAAACTTCTGGGTCAAGGTGGACGGCTTCAGGGACTTGGTGGAGCAAGTCTGGTGCAAACCTGTCCACTCTATGCTACCCATCAAACGGTTGCATATAAAATTAGTACGAGTGGCAAAAGGCCTTAAGCGGTGGCGGAAGGAGAAGACTGGGGACACTCGGTTGCAGCTGGCCATCGTCAAAGAGGTGCTACTACAGCTCGAGGCAGCGCAGGAAGTCAGAACACTCACACAGCAGGAGCTCGACCTACGCCGCTGTCGGCTAAAAATCAAAAGCTCCGGATTAGCGGCCATTGAAAAATCAAGAATTAGACAACGGGCAAGGCTCACATACAT